GTATTTAAGCCCGGCAAATAAAACCAGAGAAAAAAGATAGAATTGCATAGATAGATAAATAATTGAGTCAAGCAAACAGTAGGTACCATAAATAAAGAGTGTGAATCGCTGTGAATTATAGCGTGTGTTTATAAAAGTAGTTAAGTTAAAATGACGTGCTCAGTTTACCAGAACATTCGAAAAATCCCACAACTGAGCATGAAAGGAGCGGAGTCAGATGCCTCTCTCTCTCTCTCTCAGTTGCCTCTCACTCACTCAGTTTGTTACTTCGCCTCGCTCCGTGCATATTCAAAACAAAGTCCGATCTTCTTCCTCGCATCATACCTGCGATATAATCAAATTACGCAAAACTTTGTTTTTTAGAATCTTTAAACTTTAGTTATGTAAAAGTAATTTTTTTTCAGAAAATTATTTAAAATGCTGGTTGCCTCCAGTTTAAGTAAAATCCAAAAGTGCAAAAATCACCCAAACAGCTTCTGCTCAATTTGTGGAAAATATATTACAGATTTACGAAGGAAAAACATCACACACAAGGTAAAGGTAGCTTACTACCACCATTTTGGGTGTAAAATTGGTGATCAAGAAAAACATTGGGCTACATATGTATGTTGTACAGTTTGGACATCTGGCTTGACATAGTGGCTGAATAAGAAGAGAGCAAGTATGCCATTTACAGTTCCCATGATATGGTGTGAGACCAAAGATCATCTAACTGACTGATATTTTTGCATGACTAATGTTTCTAGATATTCAGGCAAAACTAAACAATATATTAAATATCCAGATTTTGCATCTGCAATGAAAACAGTAACTCATGGGGATGGTCTTCCAGTGCCACATCCACAAGCGAATGGGGAACAAGAAAAGTTATCCTGCAAAGAAGACAGTGAATCATCTTCATCCTCTTCACCTAGTAATTCTATTCCTGTGGCACCTTAACATAAACTGCTACATCTGATTACACAAGAGCTAAATGATCTGATTCGTGACTTGTCTCTATCAAAGCAGTATTAGGAACTTATTGACTCTCATTAACGGCAATGGAATTTATTAGCTCCAGGAACAAAAGTTTCAATTTACCGAAGTCGCCATCAAAGTCTTGCTTCTCACTACAGCATGCAAGATACTTATGTTTCTATACAAATGTTGATGCACTAATGGAAGAATTGAGTACTGAACATCATCCTTAAGAATGGAGACTTTTTATCGACTACTCTAAAGTTAGTCTTTGAAAGTTGTACTTTTGCACAATGGGAACACTAAGCCATCGATTCCTGTTGCTCAAGTTATGAACATGAAAGAAACTTATCAAAGCATGCAGTTTATACTTGAGGCCATCAAATATGATTACCATAGATAGAACATGTGTGGTGATCTAAAAGTTCCTGTACTCCTGCTAGGCATGCAGAAAGGGTATACTAAATATTGGTGCTTTTTGTGTCTCTGGGACAGCTGAGATGATAAAAATAATTTCAAAAAGAAAGAATGGCCAGTGAGAGAGAGAATTGTTTGTTTGTTTGTTTTGAATTTCGCGCAAAGCTATCTGTGCTAGCCATCCCTAATTTAGCAGTGTAAGACTACAGGGAAGGCAGCTAGTCATCACCACCCACCTCCAACTCTTGGGCTACTCTTTCACCAACGAATAGTGGGATTGACCATCACTTTATAACGCCCCATGGCTGAAAGGTTTGGTGGGATGGAGATTCAAACCCGCCACCCTCAGATTGCCGGGCCATGAGAGAGAGACTTACCTAACAGGGAAAAAGAATATAGAGTATCAACCTTCAGTGAATCCTCAAAATATGTTTCTGCCCCCACTTCATATTAAACTTGGCCTCGTGAAAAATTTTGTAAAAGGAATGAAAAAAGATGGTTATGGTTTAAGATGTCTGTCTAACAAGTTTCCAAAAATCAGTGAAGCAAAAATGAAAGGAGGTGTCTTTGTAGTGCCACAAATTCGAGAAGTGCTGATGGATGATGAGTCTGAAACAGTACTCAATCAGAAAGAACTTGCTGCCTGGAAATCTTTCAAACTGGTGGTCAAAAAATTAAGAAATCATAGAGATGAAAGCTATGCTGTGATGATTGATGATATGCCTCGAGAACTACAGGAAAATGAGATCTAGGATGTCATTAAAGATGCACTTCTTGCACTCCCATTTAGACTTCTCACTAAATGATCTAGGTGTAGCGAGTGATAAGCATGTTGAGTGCTTCCACCAAGATATTTCTACAAATGGAACAGCGATATCAAGGACAATGGAATCCTGCGATGATGGAAGACAACTGTTGGTTCTTACAGCTTGAAACTGAGAA